CGCCCCGGCCCTCCCAGTGAGAGAGGTGTCGGTGAGGGGGCGGAGAGACCTACGTAATCCCCTCCTCAGCCCACACCCACCCCCGTTCCAAAGCTCTGGGCGGCGGTTTCGCCTGGGGCTCCCCGTAGGTAACCGTGCGCCTGGCCATGTCCCGGGATAACTGATCCGGAGCAGCCGGTCATGTCACCTGCGGTACTGCGACCTGCACACAGGCAGAGAGGAGCCGCGGGGGGGAGTGTGCCTGGTCCATCCATTGGTAGCTGAAGGTGCGCTGCTTTTCATCCCTGCCTCCCGGTCTATGACAATGCAGCCAGATTCGGGGGCTCGCACCAGGCGGTCCTCCACCCCATCCTCATCCAGTGCCTCCCGCCTGCCTTTGCTGGACCGGCCGCTGGGCCTGTTTGCGGAGCGTGGGTGCGTGGGCTGGCTGGCTGTGTTGCGTACAGAGGCCGGACACAGTAACTTCCCTGCCGAATTTCAGCGCGAGGCGGGAGCTGGCAGGGACTCAGGCTGCGGAGATGTCGTCGGGCTTCCTGTGGTTCCAGGCACAGCCTGCCTCGGTCTGCATTGGGCAGACACCAGATACAGCATTGGGTGATTTTCCTGGTTGCGGGAGATACTGTTTGACGTTGCTGTAGTTATTTTTTGTGCTTACTTTTCTTGGGATCTGCAGTGGTGCAATTCTCCCCTTGTTTTTATTTTTTCTCTTGGAAAAGATAACAAGGCTGTCTTCGGCAGAAATGGATATAGGAAGACAAGCATAGTTCAAAGACTAAGGGGGGCATCTTTTCTCTTTTCCTAGGATTTGAGTGCGATGTAGGAGGGCAGATGCCCTGGGAAAAGGCCAGCCTTTAAAGACCCAAGAAGTGTCATTGTCCAAGACCTCACAAAGCAGGTAGCCATATCTGCGTTTCTCATCAGCGGACTCCCTCGGCTTTGGCTATTACAGCAATTCGTTCTGGATCGCGGATTCATTTTGAAAATGTGTGTTGTTCACTAAGAAGGGATTAGGGTCCTCATGCCTACCCTGGCATGATGTGTGTATCTGATTGGTAGAGGAATAGTGTGTGGTAGAATTCCCTGGTGCCCCTTCTTTCTCTTTGCTGCCTCCTCCGGAATGTGGCACTGGAGAAATGCAGCACGCTTTTAATTCCTAGACCTGCAGGACTTCAGAGTGTTTAATTTAATAAAGCATGTTCTGACTAATTCTGGAATCCCAGGCTAGTGCCGTTGGCAGCTTTGTGAGATGACAGTTCTGCTTTTGTCTGGGGTAGTTATTTCACAGAGGCAAATTGCTTAAGTTTGTTCAGATTGTGTACCTTATTGGCTTGGTGGAGAGATCACATCCTGAGCCAGAACAGTCTGTAAATGCATCAGCATAGAGGGACTGCAGCTGCTGGGATCTGTTTGCGTAGCGACATTTGATCCCTTTTAAAGACGGGTGTTTTAAAAGATCACTTTAGGCTTTACCTTCTCTGACGTTTGCATCTGATATGACTACTAATAGAGGAAATGCTAACAGACCAGATGTGATCATGGAAAGACAAGCCTCCTCAGCCCCTTCCTTAGCTGTAAAGTGAGTAAGTCGGGCTAGCTGTGGTTCCTCCCAGTTCCAACATTGTGTGATAAGGTAGAAGAGGATGAAGTTACCCAGTTTAGCCATCCAAATGGTTATGGCCCAAAGTGTGTAAGCAAAGCAGGGATTGATTCCTGAATTTATGGCTTGTTTTTATTCCTGCAAGGTTGTTGTTTTTTAACCCCAGTATCTGCATTTTTCTCATAAATTAAATTAGGCAACAACTAAAACAGGTCATTTTTTAAAATCCACTATAGCAAAAATATTTTGTGGGGTTGAAGGAGAGAGAAGGATGTTGAATTCATAGGATAACAGGTTTTCTCTTCATTTGTGGATTAGTTATCTATTCCAGCCCTGTCATTTGTGGATAATTGAGACTGTAGCTTATTTCCAATGATTTTTGTTTTGTTTTGAATGAAACACTCTATGTAGCTTTTTCATCCTGCACAGCAGTTGGCAATAGCATGACTTACTTTCCCTGATAGAATTTGGTGTTGCTCATAAAACTTGTTAGCACTGTTCGGCTTGTTATAAAATTGAGTGAGGCAACAATTATTCTAAATAGGCAAGCAAAGTGTTTTCATATGCTTACACTAATTTGTACAATTTAGGGATAGTTGAGATATTTGATCATTGTTTTATGCTTATCCACACAATTTTCCACAGCAGTGTGCTACTTTTTTTAAAGTTACAATCAAAATAACTTCCTGAAAAAAATAGTACCTGTCAGCATAATGAATCGCTCCCCCTCCAATTTTCCCATAAGCCTTTTGTCCATGCCACTAAGGCAGCACTTATATATTGCAAGTACGTGAGTTGTGAACAGCCCACAGCCTCCTTGTCTTACAAATAGTGTGAGTATCTTGAGGACAAGGACATTATTAAATTTATCTCTCATCTCTTCAGCACCTTGAACTTTGCCCAGTCCATGGTATGCCCTTAGGCAGCGGTTCTCAACCTGTGGGTCGCGACCCCTTTGGCGGTCAAACGACCCTTTCACAGGGGTCGCCTAAGACCATCCTGCATATCAGATATTTACACTACGATTCATAACAGTAGCAACATTACAGTTATGAAGTAGCAACGAAAATAATTTTATGGTTGGGTCACAACATGAGGAACTGTATTTAAAGGGACAGAAGGTTGAGAACCACTGATCTAGAAATGAGGTAGACAGCAAGTTCAAATGCTTCAGGTTTGGGTCTTTTGTTTTTCACTTGGATGACTTATATTGTCCATTCTGACAAAATCAATCTGCTACTGCTCTGTTCTGTCTTGCTATAGCCTTTGAAGGAAACGTGTTCTGTCCAAGCCCTCTGTCTCCTAAGTGGCACTTAAACGGAAAGCGTGAGTGAGTGCCCTCCTGCCCCCACCCTCCACAAGTGCTTCTGAAACAACCCAGCAGTTCCATTGATTTGGCCATCGTTCCTGGCCAGCTCACCCCAACAGAGTTGCCCAACAGGCAAATTTCTGAGCTAACAGGTGTTACTTATTGATAAAGCAACCCCTGCTTCTCTCCCATCACCTTCTTCCTTTCCATCTTACAAAACAGAACAGGTGACGGTTAGGAAACTAGGAAGTACAGTGCTCATATGCCCTTTCTGTAATGCAGCCCTGGGCATGTTTGATGTCTATGGCCTTTTAGAGAAAACAGTGTGAAAGGTTTAGTGTGGCTTTTTCAAGTCACTTTTCTCCTCTCAGGTTTAATTTCTTCTTTAAAAGTAGGGAGTTGAACCAGGTAATCCCAAAGATCACTTCTACCACCATGATTCTGTGATTATTTTTGTTGGTTTATTCAATTGAGCTAATTAGAGGGCAAAAATTATTACTGATAATTTAACTTGACTATATATATGTATATATAGTAGAACTACTTAAGGCTCTCTGTGTCAGCCCCTGGGTTATCTAATAATCATGTTGGGTCCTCTGTTAATGCTATTCTCTACAAATGTAGTAATTTTTTCTTATTTGTAAAACTAGATTTACTGTATTAAAGGAAAAGGTTTGCGGCATTTCCTGTTCCAAGAAGTATACAGTCCCCAACTCCTATATAAAATGTTTAGAACTTTAGGGTTTGATAGTCAAGGTTCCAATACCTGTAGTAAAGCAGTTTTATTTTCACCATGAGTGTGTTTCATGGCTAAATAACTTGCAGCCAGAAGTGTTCCCTGAGATTCATCCAACTATGTCTCTTTCCATTTATTTCTGCTTCCTCGTTTTGCTTTTCCCTCCCTCTCTTATTAGCTCCATGGACCTCCTGTCACATTTCACAAAATATATGCCACTAGTACCATTGCCCACCTCCCCCACCTTCATCATGTCCCTCCAAATGCAGGAGTCGGAGCCTCATAATCTTCCTACTTGTCTCAACCTTTTCTACACCCTTCATGAGTATTGCTTCTCAAGTTTAAATATGAGGACTAGAGGTAGACTAGTTCGTGTGATGATTCTGTTTATAGACATGTATTTCTCATGGAATACATGAAATTATCAGAGCAGTTATCAGATCAATTTTGTTAGAATGGACAATATAAGTCATTCAAGTAAAACACAAGGTATTTGTCTCTTAAAGTCTCTTTCAATACTTTAGGAAACAAAGAAACATATAGATGATTTATAATGTACATCATACTATAATGTTTGGATGTGTGGGTATTGGTAAGTGGTTGTTACCTTCTGTGACACGGTCACTGTAGGGAAATAAGTGGTAGGTGCAGGATGTTACTGTTTATTGGAAAGATATCACAAAGACCACTGGAAAAAAAATAATCTGAATTTCCATAGCAACAAGTGATGTGTGCTGTTCACATTATTAATTAGAAACCCTCAATTTATTGTCTCAAAGCTTGATGCACACAGAGGATGAAAAAATAAGGATAGAGTGTATAGACAGGCTTTTCTCATACTACCAGGCATCTATTGCATTGCAGTATTTTGGGTAGAATTCAGTGGATGGAACTTAAAGCTGGTTCTGGAGTTGGGGGAGGTGGGAAGAGCTGGAAAGAGAAGCCATCTGTGCCCATGATGGAGAGGCTGTCATGTAGACTTCATTTGGGGTTCCTTTTATATATTTAGTGGAACAGATTTTTCTTTTCACACTTTCTAGATCTATTTGTATTGCACAGATGTCAGGGAAATATTGTGTGTGTGAAAGAGGGGAAAAAAAAAAGACCAAAATTCACATTCATGTCCAGGGATTGTAATTTAAGCACGTTGCCCTTAAATTGACACCCACTTAACTTGCACAAATGTGACTTGCCTTTGCTTTCAGGGTATAAGTCACAGCAATTTGAGAAAGAGAAATCTCAGTCCTGCACATTATTAAAATTCAGGGATTCAGGTTAAGAAGGTGAAAAAAAAAAAGATGGGAAGACTAGAATTACGCACTGTAGACCTTGCTAATGGAACCCATCAGTCAGTCATCATTTTCCTTCCTATAGTAAGTACACTGACCAGGTGAAAAAACTACAGGATACATCAATAGATTTCTCTCATTCAAAGGACTTGTCTTTTTCTTTACAATTAGTCATAATTCCTTTTACTATCAAAACTTAAAACTACCTAATTAACAAGTTTTCCCCCTGTTTTTTGAGCACAAGTTATTTTTGTGAAAATAATCCTTTTGAAGTTGAGAAAAAAAATAATTTAGAGGGTTTTCCATGCCATTTCCCCCTCCATCTCCTCAGTGTCGCCTCTGTTCATGATCAGGCACCAGACCTGTGTGTAAAGGGGATGACAGGAGAGAAACTGTTGGCACACAAACGCACTGTAATATATTACACTTTATGGACCCCCCCCCCCCCCCCCCCCCCCCCCCCCCCAGGTAATGTTTGATTTAGACAAACAATACATTTAACATAAACGTAAATTATGGGGGGGAAATGCCTGCCATGCTGCCTGAGACCAAAAAAAGCATCAATTCATTTTTAAGGTCTCTTTGCGCTCCTGCCTCATCTCTCCTTCTGGCTCTCTGAGAGCAGCCCACTTGGGTTCCTGTCCCCACCCGTCCCTTCCACTGTACCCTGGAAGGTCACCAGTGGTCTCTTCCTTGTCAAATACAAGGTCAGTCTCTATCCTCAGCAGCACTTCACATTGTGCACCACTCCCTCTTTCTCAAGCTCCTGGCTTCTAGGACCCCAGATTCTCCTGGTCTTCCTGCCGCCTCCCTGGATCCTCTTCCTCAGGCTCTGTTGATGGCGCCTGAATTTTTATCCCTGCTAACCTCTACTGAACTTTGTCTCTACATGATGGAATTCTGCAGGGTTTGGCTTTCAGGTCTCTTCTCCTCTTATCTACATCCCTGCCTTTGGTTTAATACT